AAAGCTTTTATATTGAGGTATGTTATGCAGCTACTGCTAAGTATTTTTAAGCACGTTTATATAAATGTTCTTTTTTTAACGTTTTAGTTTATAATATATGTATATATAACCGAAGAGTATTCGAATTCAAGGTTAATTAAAATTGCTAATAAACATGTTAGGAATTACAAATATTCGTTTTAGTTAAGCTAATAGTGCAATTTGACTAAACACTTAGATAACAATTATATTATAATAAAAAAGTATGTTTTGTTTTTATGAAATGGTTAAAGTTACGCCAATTTGTATCGTTTTTGATCGGTTTCTTTAATTAATTAATTAATTTAACATGAGCAAGCTGCACATATACAAATAGTTTGTTCGATTTTAGCTTTTGTTTGTGGGAATACAAATTTCCTTTAATTAATAAGCTACCAAATAGCTTAACAAGAAGCACATGAGTATGGCTAAAGAACCCTTTTCCTTAGGTCCTGCAGCATTATCGGCTGATTTAATAGTTTGATCTCCTATTAAGGTAGACTCTTGCTGCAATTGTTGTGAAGAAGAACCAGCGGTTATGGGTTGCATGGGAGCCAAGGGAGCAGAGCCTTCTGCTGGGGCAGGAGCAGCAGCTTCAGCTGGTTTAACTGCTTCAGCAGCTACTTGTGGTTCTGCTGGTGGTGGAGGTGCTGGATAACAGGCTATTTGTTCAACTTCTACCATTTTAGTGGCATCATTTGGATCGGTTTGATTGACACGTACTGGCACACAAATAATACCTCCAGCTGGGGGTTGTTCAGGATTAGCGGGGGCTGCTGGACTACCATCAGCAGCAGCTGCTGCCGCTACTGGGGCTACGGCTGCAGGGGTTTCTCCGGGATTAGTAGCATTTTGAGGCATATCAGCTGCTGGTACAGGAGCCATAGGGGCCAAAGGTGCTGGGGTTTCACCGGTAGCAGCAGCAGCGGCACCAGGGGCTGGTGTTTCTCCTGCATTTACCACAGTAACACCATTGGCATCTGTAGTAGCGTTCATTACTTGACCATTGTTAATAATTATAATACGATCGTGACCACCATCGGCACTACCACCTGCAGCGGCGGCAGCAGGTGCCTGTTCAACTACACGTGTCTGGGTAGGTGTAAGAACATGACCCAAAATGGCACCGCCTATAGCACCAGCTGCTAAACCAGAACCTATACGTTGTCAACAAAATATGTCAGTAATTTTTTATTCATTCTCTAGAAAACTTAGTTTGTTTCTATAACAAAGAATCTGTTAACTTAAAAAGTAAATATTATTTTGAAAAAAAAAAAAAAAAATAACGCGTATTCTCTTTTAACACTCAAATTCCAATGTCCCTCAAAACCATAAATAAAATTATCATAATTCAATTGTTGAAACAATTTGCTAAAGACTAATTGAATTTAACTTTTAACACCTTCACCAATAATGACACAAATGAATAAAAAAATCTTAAATTTTTATAACGGAAATTTTTGAAAAAATAACATTTTTTTTCTAATTTTACTTTAATTTACAATTTCTGGCGAATTTTCAAAAGTAACCATTATTTTTGAAAAGCGGTTACTTTTGTAAAAATAAAGAAAATTTCTTTAAAGGAGCTGTAAATTATTATTAAATTTAAAAATTATTACATTTAGCATTAAAATTTGCTAAAAATAAGTGGTTACTCGACTAATTCCGAATGGTTACTCGTAAAAATGTTAACAAAAATGAAAATTTCTTTTATCATTTTACTTTAGCTTTCATTTAAAAACAATTCCCTATGATTTTTCAAAAGTAACCACTATTCTAGAAAGTGGTTACTTTTCTTTAATCAAAGAAAATTTGTAGAAAAAAACAGTAAATTGTTATTAACATTAAAAGTGATTGTATGTGAAGCTAAAATTTGCCAAAAATAACTGGTTACTCACATAAATTCGAATGGTTACTCGTTAATAATTTAACAAAAATTAAAATTTCTTCTATAGTTTTACTTAAGTTTTCATTTACGAACAATCCCCTTTAATTTGTCAAAATTAACCATTATTTTAGAAAGTGGTTACTTTTCTTTAATTAAGAAAAATTTGTGGAAAAAAGCGGTAAATTGTTATAAAATTTTAAAATTGTTAAACATACTACATAAATTTCTTCAAAATAACCGGTTACTCGCATAAATTCAAACGGTTACTCGTAAAAAATTTAACAAAAATTAAAATTTCTTCTTTAATGTCACTTAAGTTTTCATTTGCAAACAATTCACTATAATTTTTCAAAAGTAACCATTATTTAAGAAAATGGTTACTTTTCTTTAATTAAGTAAAATTTGTACAAAAAATTATAATGAAAACTTAAAATGTTTAAATGTACTGCCTAATGTTGAGTAAAATAATTGGTTATTTACATAAATTCAAATGGTTACTCGTAAGAAAATTTATACAAATTAAAATTTCTTCTATAATTTTACTATATCAGTCATTTGTAAACAATTCTCTATAAAATAAGTAGTTACTAGCACATATTCGAACGGTTACTCGTTACTGGTTACTTTTTCTTATATAGATAATCTTGAGAAAAATGTTGGAATTAGTAATAAAAATCAAAAATTGAAACATTTAACGCTAACATTTGACCAAAATAAGAGATTACTCGAATAAATTTGAATGGTTACTCACAAAAATATTATCAAAAATTTAAATTTTTTAATAATTTTTCAATTACAAACATAATTAACGTTTTTTTTTACAAAGTAACGATTATTTTGAAAAGTGGTTACTTTTTCTTACTTTAAAGAATATTTTAGAAAAATGGTTGAAATAGTTATAGAATGCTAAATTACTACATTTTCTGCTTAAATTTGTTAAAAAAAGAAATTTTTCGAATAAATTTTAACGGTTACAAGCAAAAAATTTAGCAAAAATGGAAATTTTTCTTAATAATTTCTTGAAATTTTTACAAATTTTACAAAAAAACGTATTTTTTCAAAGAAATTTTTTAAAAATAGGGAAAATATTATAAAATTTGTTGCACTTTTTGTAAAAAATATTTAATTTTTATTTGTTTTCAAGGAAATTGTTTAAAAAATATTTTTTAGTCATTTCCTATATTGTAGTTATTTTCAAATTTTTGTTTTAATGTTAAATATTTGTTTATAAATTTATCAGATTTAAAAGCTTTAAAACTATTATGAATTAATGCCACATTTTTATTTTAACATTTAAAGCTTTATTTAGTTAAGGGTTTTCCCCTTTTGTTCGAATATAATTGACTTGCATGTTTTAATGCTTCTATGATAAAAGACTTTATTTCCCCAGTGATAATAAATTATACAAAAAGTCTTTATAATTGAATTTTTAATTATACTTATTGAAAATAAACCAGTTATGAGTTGAAAATAACATTTAATAAAAAATTATTTGTAATAATTTTATTTTTAATTATACTTATTGCAAAATAAACCTGTAAGAATTGAAGATTCATCAATAAGATGAAAAAACCCAAGGCACATTTGTGAAATTATTATAATTTTGACGTAATTAAAATAGCGAGTAATTATTAAAAGGCTTTAAACGAATCTATTATATTCTACAGCTGACTTTTCAGATTGATTTTTCAAAACTTTAAAGGTCTGAGATGACCTTCTTTGATTAACTTCGGAAATGAACTGTGTCACCAATAGTTTTGTTTGTAGGGTATAAAATTGTATAAACTTTTATATCAATATTTCAATTAAATGTGGGTTGAATAACTTATACGTTATGGATGAAAGTTTTGTTAAATATTTTGTAATATTTACTACCATAATTAAAAAGTATTTATGTGTTAAAAGTTGTTATATTTATATAATAATACATATTTAAAATATTTGCATTATTTGTGTATAGAAAAAAAAAGAAAATTTAAATAAATGCAATGGTTGAATGAACACAAAATGAAAATGATGATAAACTTAAAAAAGGTTTTAATTTAAAATTGAAAAAAGTGTAACTTACCGAAACCTAAACCGGAAGAAGTTTGCTGAGGTGGTGAGGAATAGAGAACAGCACCTGGTGGCAAAGCATTACCAGCGGGCAAGTAGGTAGCACCTTGTGGCAAGTTTTGAGGCGATTGATAATAATTAGAGCCAGCTGGAGCATGATAACCACCACCATAACCTCCGGCAGGATATGAACCACCAGCCGGATAGCCACCGGGAACATGAGAAGGACTGTTATAGTAAGTGGCTCCTGGTGGTAGATTATTGGGACTATGATATGTTGCACCAGCTGGTAAAGCGCCTGGTTGATGGTACTGAGGAGCTCCGTAGTTGGTACCGGTGGCCTGGTTATAACTAGGGGGAGCAGCGCCATAATTAGGTTTCTGATATACCGGTGGGGCTTCATGCATATTAGTTTTAGCTCCTCCAGGAACATTCGAGGCAGAATATGCTGGTGGTGGACCGGCATGACCTTGATTGGGTACATTCCAACCAATTGGTTGATTATTAGTAGACGGAGCACCAGCACTAGCAGGACGATTAGGTTGCGAGTTATAGTTGGGATAGCTCAATTTCGCAGCATCGGCATGTGAGTTACTGCTGCTGCTTCCACTATTAGTGTTGTAACTAGGTTTAGTAACACTAGTAGGCTGACGTCTAGTGGTATAACCGCCACCGGAAGATTTCCTATTACTGCCTCCCAAAGCCCTTTTGGCTTCACATATTGGAGCAGCTATTACAAGGCCACAAACCAGCAAAACCAACACCAGTTTACGTGGTGCCGTAGACATTTTCACAAAAAAATTCAACTTTTTTTTTAACCACTACACTACTTTTTTTCTGGAAGCTTTATTTTTAGTCTTAAAATTTTATTTAGTATATTTTTTTCCTTTAAATTGCGACTGACGCTCGTTGAAATTTTACTAAGAACTGAAAAAATAAAATACAATGTTTGTGTCAAAAAAAATCGTTAAACAAACACAAAATATTAATGCCGTGCTTGTGACTGGGTTGTTGTTGCGATTTAATAAATAATTCACTAACTAATTTAATAACCAGTTTACCTCTTTGCCTCCCTAAATGTTGTTAAAAATAATTTTCACTTTATTTGTTTGCTTTTTTTTTCAAATGAAAAATACGACTGGCGAATTTCACCAACAACAATGACGGACAAATGACGCATTAAAATACAACAATAATACAAACAAAAACAAAATTTGACAGTTTTCCTACATTAAAAATAATATGGCAGCTCAAGTAAAATAACAGCTGTAATAAACCAAACATAATATGGCAACTTCACTTCTTCTCTGTCGATTGGCAATTCAAAACAAAACAACACCGCGTGTGTAGCCACAATTTTTTGTTTATTTTTATTTTTTGTTAAAAAAATTAACTTTTTGACTAAACTTTAATAAAATGTCCACAAATGTGAATATAAAACTAGCCTTAGATCGTGTTAATATGGATCTATTGGCCCAAAATCAAACAAATGCCCCGCGTTTGTACACGCCCGGCGAGGTGGTTACTGCCCAACAGGGTTTTATGAAGGGTCATGGTACTTATGTGGAGGGTGATGATATTATAGCCTCGGTGGCTGGCGTTATAGAGCAAGTCAACAAATTGGTTTCCATAAAACCCCTAAAAAGTCGTTATGTGGGTGAAATTGGTGATGTGGTGGTGGCACGCATAACTGAAGTGCAACAGAAAAGATGGAAGGTGGACACAAATTCCCGTTTGGATTCTGTTCTACTGCTTTCCTCGGTCAATTTACCGGGTGGTGAGCTGAGACGACGTGTGGCTGAGGATGAACAGGCTATGCGCAAGTATCTACAAGAGGGTGATCTTATTTCCGCTGAAGTACAAAATATTTATGATGAGGGCACCCTATCTCTATACACCAGATCTTTAAAATATGGCAAACTTTCCCAGGGTGTTTTAGTTAAAGTCTTTCCCTCTTTGGTTAAAAGGCGTAAGACACATTTCCATAATTTGTCCTGTGGTGCTAGCATTATTTTGGGTAATAATGGTTTTATTTGGATATCGCCTCTGGTAAATTTGGAACAAGATGGTGGCGATGGTGGTTTCTCACAAAATCTTTCGGAGGTTATACCTCGAGCCGATCGTGAAGTTATTTGCCGTTTAAGAAATTGTATTTTGGCCTTGGCGCATTGTAAAATGATGTTATATGATACGAGTATTTTGTATGCTTATGAGGAGTCTATGAAATATGAAGTCCACGAATTGCTGCAGCAAGAGGCCATTTTTGATGTGGCCTTTTTGACGCAACATCGTTTGAGATTGCAGGAGGAGTGATGTCAGTTGATGAATAAATTAGTAAATAAGCCTATGTGGTGTCTTAAGTTGAAATGAAACGTTAAGGATTAACAAATTACAAAAAGCAATTAATTTTGAGCTCAATATAAAGGTGTTACTGAAAAACTGCAGTTGAACATAGCAAGAATAGACCTAGAACTGATAAAGAACTGATTTATAACTGAACTAGAAATTTAAAATATCTTAACTATAATGTAACTAGAACTGAAACTAATATAAAACTGAACTAGAACTGAGCTAGAACTGCACTTGAACTGAACAAGAGCTAAACTGGAGCTGAACTAATATGAACTGAACTACATTTGAATTTATATCTATAAAGAACTGAACTAGATACAAACTGTAACAAAAAAAAACACATTTTCATTTATTTAGATTTCACTGTGTTCACTTCATTATTATTCATAACCTAACGTTATGGATACCAAACCATTAGGAAAAAAACAAGAATTACTGGCCCTCAAAATGCAATGTTAAAAATTCCACATAAATGAACGAATCTTACAACCACCAATATGCTTTTCTATTCGGTAAAATGTGTGAGTGAGTGTGTGCGGGTTAGAAAAATGGAGACATACTTCAACAGTTTTAATATTGATAACAATATAACACGTGGGGGAAAAGGAATACAAAAATCCAACTGCAAAAAACAACAATAACAACATCAAAATGTACACAAACGAATGTCTGGAATGTTACGCAGTTTTGCACTTGTATGTTTGTTTGTAAAAGTAACGGTTAAAATTAGGTGTGAGTATGTTTGTTGAGTAAAGAAAGCCAGACAAAGGCAGAGGATATGAACACAAATATACAGTTATTTTAATGTTGAGAGAGAACACGAGTTGTAAAAGAGAACAAGAGCATAAATATGAAGGAAAAAGTTACTTAAATAATGGAGTTGTAGGACCAGAGGGTTACAGAGGGCAGAAGACACTATCAGCAGACTACTAAGCAACAGGCAGAATACTGTTAATTTTAGTCTAAAATCAACCATTAAACAGGGCGTAACAAGAAGCGCATAAAAAAATAACCAAAAAGAAAATGTCTAGTGAAAAGTTTGAATAAAAAATCAAACAGAAAATGGAAATTAATAAAATATTTATCTAATTAAATAAAGAATAATTAAATCGTTGTCTCTAGTAAAGGTGTAAATAATCAAATTAATTAACAACTACAAATTGGTGTCTAAAATTTACAATAAAATATGCTTCAACATTATTTTATTATTTGCTTACAAGAAAAAAATGTGTTAATTTAAAATTTTTTATAAGAATAAGCATAAAAAGTTAAAATTTTAATAATTATTAAGCTAAATCTGTGTGCATAAGTTCTGACCATGGATTTTCGAAACCTTAACAATGGCGCTGGCGGTAACAAATATGTCTGTCCCAGCGACAGGCAATTGGCATTGAGAGCAAAGTAAATATGAAAAAATTTTCTAAAATTTTTTTTCCTACTGCACTCATAATAATAAATAATACACAATTTTTCAAACAGTTCCTGCTAGAACCCTTTTAATCATAACTACTCCTCCCCAAATCCTCACCTATACCCAAACCTTTTTATTCCCCGTATCACACATACTATATACATGCATAAGTGTGATATTTCTATTCCCTACACATACTTGAACTTCAATTCTTTACTGTTGTTGTTGTTGCTTCATTTTAACCACAAAAAAATATTATTTTACAAATGGTGGCACATACATACAAACTTCCAACACACCATTGCCACGAACAACAACAATCATTCTCATACAATTTGTTTTTATGGTTGTCGCTTTTTTGATGTTGATTTTTTGTAATACCGTTATTTCTATTTACTTTCATTTATAATTGTTGTTGTTGTTGCCCTCTCCCGTGTTTTTTTGTAAAGTACTCATATGTTTTAATATGCATGCATGATTTTGTTTTTAGTAGCTGTTGATACAAGATAATTTCATTAACTTGTAATTGTTGTTGTTGTTGTTATTATTATTGTAATTTTTGGCAACAAAAATGGAAAATTATTAAAAAGGAACAGAAATACTACATACAATTTGTGTGTATGTAGCTTGTTAACTTTAACTAACATATGCTTAGTTAAATAATCATAAAAAATTGTTAGTTAGGAGGAAAAGTCATGTCGTTTAATTGAATTTGTTTAATTGTTATAATAAAAATGTATTAAAATAATATAAATAGAAATTAATTAGAACTGAAGTGGAACTGAACTGGAAGTAGAACTGAACTTGAACTAGAACTGAACTAGACTTCAACTCAACTTGAGCTAGAACTGAACTAGAACTGTACTAAAACTGAACTAGAACTGAACTAGAACTGAACTAGAATTCAACTAGAACTGAACTAGAACTGAACTAGAACTGAACTAGAACTGAACTAGAACTGAACTAGAACTGAACTAGAACTGAACTAGAACTGAACTAGAACTGAACTAGAACTGAACTAGAACTGAACTAGAACTGAACTAGAACTGAACTAGAACTGAACTAGAACTGAACTAGAACTGAACTAGAACTGAACTAGAACTGAACTAGAACTGAACTAGAACTGAACTAGAACTGAACTAGAACTGAACTAGAACTGAACTAGAACTGACTAGAACTGAACTAGAACTGAACTAGAACTGAACTAGAACTGAACTAGAACTGAACTAGAACTGAACTAGAACTGAACTAGAACTGAACTGAACTAGAACTGAACTAGAACTGAACTAGAACTGAACTAGAACTGAACTAGAACTGAACTAGAAACTGAACTAGAACTGAACTAGAACTGAACTAGAACTGAACTAGAACTGAACTAGAACTGAACTAGAACTGAACTAGAACTGAACTAGAACTGAACTAGAACTGAACTAGAACTGAACTAGAACTGAACTAGAACTGAACTAGAACTGAACTAGAACTGAACTAGAACTGAACTAGAACTGAACTAGAACTGAACTAGAACTGAACTAGAACTGAACTAGAACTGAACTAGAACTGAACTAGAACTGAATTAGAACTGAACTAGAACTGAGCTAGAACTGAACTTAACCTGAACTAGAACTGAACTAGAACTGAACTAGAACTGAACTAGAACTGAACTAGAACTGAACTAGAACTGAACTAGAACTGAACTAGAACTGAACTAGAACTGAACTAGAACTGAGCTAGAACTGAACTTAACCTGAACTAGAACTGAACTAGAACTGAACTAGAACTGAACTAGAACTGAACTAGAACTGAACTGAACTAGAACTGAACTAGAACTGAACAAGAACTGAACTAGAACTGAACTAGATCTGAACTAGAACTGAGCTAGAACTGAACATGAACTGAACTAGAACTGAACTAAAGCTGAACTAGAAATGAACTAGAACTGCACTAGAACTGAACTAGAACTGAACTGAATTAGAACTGAACTAGAACTGAAGTAAAACTGCACTAGAACTGAACTAGATCTGAACTAAAACTGAACTAGAACTAAACTAAAATAGAAAACTAAAACTGATCTAACATAATAACCTAAAATATCAATTCTTGCTCTCAAGTAAAATTGTAAACCGTAACGTATGAGTATTTAATTAAAACTCATACGTACTGTGGACTGAATTGCAATTTTAAATTAAACAAATGTTTTTCAACGTTAATTGATAAAATATAAAGAAAACTATTAACCAAAAACGTATTAAAGACGTATGTATGTGTAATTGAATTATAATTACAATAACAAAACCATACGTAAATTCATTGCTCTAATAAGTTTATAAATTAAAATAGGATGTAGGAGAGTGTGAGTCAAAATAATGGGTCACTAATTAAAGCAAGGATTCTTAAATTTGCACTTAAGCTTAAAAAGCCACACACTTGCACATACTCACACTCGCAAACAACATGCAGTGCCAACTACAGCAACCGGACATGTTTAAAGACGCCATTATCATTAATACTTAAATGTATTAGTTAGTAGTAAAAATGATGACTGACTCTATTCTCTACTCTTCTCTATGAGTACAATTGTTTGGCGTCATTATGTTTAATAGTTGGCGGATATGGCGTCTTTGTTGTCGTCTTGTTTAGTATTTTATTCCTAATGTGTTTGTGTGTGTCTGTGTAAGTGTTTTCATAATTTTAATTGAGTTGTTAGTTAATATTTAATGCTCTTCAATAATATTTTACAATCGCATTTGAAGTGTTAATTAGCAATTAATTACAATTTAATTACCAGTTAAATACACCACAGGCTGTTAGTAATCAAGAAACAACGAAGATTCAAGAAAATGTTTACAATTTACTTACATATTTTGTTTGTATTCTACTTTAAATGGTCCATTTGTTAACATTTAGAAAGGAAATCCTTTATTTAATTATGTTACCTTTTTTTTTGTAAATGTAAAGATTTGTTTTTATTTAGAAAAATATTTGTTTAACAATCAGTTGGGAATTTTCCTAGAAACCGACCAAATTTAATTTGTTATTTTTGTATTCAAAAAACGAAGATACCATTGAAATACAAGTGCCTGTTGCGAGCGGCGCGTGGGTGTTAAAAGGAAATGTTTAAATTTAGGCATATTAAGCCTTTGGGTTATTTTTCTAGTATTTTATTTGCAAAAAAATAAGGAGAAGGACAAAAAAAATAACAACAGCAATAAAATGTATGTTTATTTATGGAAATAAACTATCACATTTTATTATTTCTTTCATAAATCAATCAACATTTTTGAAAGGGAAGAAACGAGACAATTTTTCTGCAAAAAAAAGCTAAAAATAAAAAATTTCAAGTACAATACAAATAAATGGATGAATCTAGAGAAAATAGCAAGTAATAGAATATTTGGCTGTGACGAAATCATACAATACATACTTTAATTTGTTTAGTTAATTTTAGATTCATGTCTAGGTCAGTTCTAGTTTACTTCTTGTTCTAGGTTCGTTCAATTCTATTTAACTACAAGTTCAATTCTAGTTCAGTTTTAGTTAAGTTGTAATTTAGCTCCAGTTTGGTACCAGTTTAGTTCTAGTTCAGTTCTAGTTCAGTTCTAGTTCTAGTTCAGTTCTAGTTCAGTTCTAGTTCAGTTCTAGTCCAGTTCTAGTCCAGTTCTAGTCCAGTTCTAGTTCAGTTCTAGTTCAGTTCTAGTTCAGTTCTAGTTCAGTTCTAGTTCAGTTCTAGTTCAGTTCTAGTTCAGTTCTAGTTCAGTTCTAGTTCAGTTCTAGTTCAGTTCTAGTTCAGTTCTAGTTCTGTTCTAGTTCTGTTCTAGTTCTGTTCTAGTTCTGTTCTAGTTCTGTTCTAGTACAGTTCTAGTTCAGTTCTAGTTCAGTTCTAGTTCAGTTCTAGTTCAGTTCTAGTTCAGTTCTAGTTCAGTTCTAGTTCAGTTCTAGTTCAGTTCTAGTTCAGTTCTAGTTCAGTTCTAGTTCAGTTCTAGTTCAGTTCAGTTCTAGTTCAGTTCTAGTTCAGTTCTAGTTCAGTTCTAGTTCAGTTCTAGTTCAGTTCTAGTTCAGTTCTAGTTCAGTTCTAGTTCAGTTCTAGTTCAGTTCTAGTTCAGTTCTAGTTCAGTTCTAGTTCAGTTCTAGTTCAGTTCTAGTTCAGTTCTAGTTCAGTTCTAGTTCAGTTCTAGTTCAGTTCTAGTTCCGTTCTAGTTCAGTTCTAGTTCAGTTCTAGTTCAGTTCTAGTTCAGTTCTAGTTCAGTTCTAGTTGAGTTCTAGTTGAGTTCTAGTTGAGTTCTAGTTCAGTTCTAGTTCAGTTCTAGTTCAGTTCTAGTTCAGTTCTAGTTCTAGTTCAGTTCTAGTCCAGTTCTAGTCCAATTCTAGTTCAGTTCTAGTTCAGTTCTAGTTCAGTTCTAGTTCAGTTCTAGTTCAGTTCTAGTTCAGTTCTAGTTCAGTTCTGGTTCAGTTCTAGTTCAGTTCTAGTTCAGTTCTAGTTCAGTTCAGTTCAGTATGTTCAGTTCTAGTTCAGTTCTAGTTTCAGTTCTAGTTTCCAGTTCTAGTTCAGTTCTCAGTTCAGTTCTAGTTCAGTTCTAGTTTCAGTTCTAGTTTTCAGTTCTAGTTCAGTTCTAGTTCAGTTCTAGTTCAGTCTAGTTCAGTTCTAGTTCAGTTCTAGTTCAGTTCTAGTTCCGTTCTAGTTCAGTTCTAGTTCAGTTCTAGTTCAGTTCTAGTTCAGTTCTAGTTCAGTTCTAGTTCAGTTCTAGTTTCAGTTCTAGTTCAGTTCTAGTTCCGTTCTAGTTCAGTTCTAGTTTAGTTCTAGTACAGTTTTCTAGTTCCAGTTCTAGTTTATTTCTAGTTTTTTATTTAGTTAGTTCTATGTTCAGTTCTAGTTAAGTTCTAGTTCAGTTCTAGTTCAGTCTAGTCAGTTTTAGTTCAGTTCTAGTCACGTTCTAGTTCAGTTCTAGTTCAGTTCTAAGTTCAGGTTCTAGTTCAGGTTCAAGTTCAGTTTCTAGTTCAGATTCTAGTTCAGTTTAGTCTAGTTCAGTTCTAGTTTCAGTTCTAGTTCAGTTCTAGTTCTAGTTCAGTTCTAGTTCTAGTTCAGTTCTAGTTCAGTTCTAGTTCAGTTCTAGTTCAGTTCTAGTTCAGTTCTAGTTCAGTTCTAGTTCAGTTCTATTTTTATTTTAAAACAAACAAATTTAATAACAAACAACTGAAACCTTAAAAATATGTTTTATATTTTAATTTTAATAAATACACTGTAAGTTTATGATTTTATTTGGTTTTAAGTTGAATTTAATTTGTTTTAAAATAAAAGTTTAAGGAAAAATCCGTATGAAACCCTTAAAACTTCCTGATTATTGTGATATTTAAATATAATAAAGAAAGTTTGTAATTTAAGGTTTAGCTTAAAAATTCAAAGACTAATTGAAAATTTTACAAGGTTTCCTAATAATTATTATTTTAATTTCTTAGAAATCAAAGTTTATTTAAAATATGTCTGGTTATTGCAGCCTTGATATTATTTGCAATTTTAAATTGAAAACATCAACATGTTTTTCTAAGACAATACCTTGACCTTTAAGTTTAAAAATGACCAAAAACAAAAAAGAAAACCCTCAAATTTCAAGTTCAATAAAACACCTTTTTCTCAGTTTAACATGTGTGCACACGTTTTGTGTAAATGAACTCTATAAACTTTGATTTATTACAAAATCTGTGAAATGAACACTTAAAACAAATCCCAGGATAAAACTATAAACTAAGCAGCAACAAAACTTCAACGAAATCCTTTAAGCAATTGAGGCTTTTTATGGGAAATTTATTTTAAAAAAGAATGTGATATTTAAGTAAGAAAATCGAATCTCAAAGTTTGTTGTTTTTTAATAAAAATTCCTTTAAATTTAAATTTAGAAGTTATTTTAATGTTATTGGTTTGTTGCTGTTGTTGTTTTATTTTCTTACAATTTTGCTATGAAAACATTGAAAAGGGAAATAAAAAAAAATATGAAACTGACATTTGCTGTCAAGTGTAGCCTGACAATTTACTGGCATTTTACAGTTTTTTTTGTTGTGTTGTTGTTATATAAAGAAAATAAAGAGACATTTATAAAGTATAATCAACAGTAAAGTAACGGATATGTCATATAACGGCAATGAATGTAACAGGCTCAAAAACACGCATACAGACAAACACATACATTTACTAAGGAGCAGAGGGTGAAGGGGAGAGAGAGTGGCCTAGTTTTAGGCTTTACTTAGTGGTTTAAAGTAAAAAGTTTTTAAATATTTGATTTTAAAGTAATAGAATTTGTTAAATTAAAGCCTAAAGTCAAATCGTTGAGATAAAAGTTTTGTATTTAAATTTTACACTTCAACACCTTTTTATTACTTTAAAAATGTTTCTTAACTATATGATGAGTTCCTGTGAAGAAACTAACTAACTAATTTGCCTTTATGCTTAAGAAACTTTTGCTCATTTCCTTATTTGAAATTTAAATTATTTTTTCCTTACTTGCTAGGCTTCTCTTTCACTTCTTTATTTATTCTTTTACTTGCCAACCGAACTCCTAAAATAACTAATGTAATTTAGTTGTAAAAAGCATAAAAAAAACACATTCTATAAAGAAAAATATGGCTTTTATGTCAAGTGTTTAACAAATACACAAATGTACATAAAAATTTACTTATATACATATTATAAGTACATAAATATAAATACATATTGTGTTGTACTGACATCAACACTGTTTAAACATAAATACTTAAAAGCCTAAAGACATTTCTAGAGAAAGAGGATGCCAGAGAAATAAGAACATTTTAAAGGAAAAGTAAAAATTTAGTTGTAGTTTTAAGTACTTACAGTGCGTATGAGTTTTAAATAAATACTCATACGTTACGGATTACAATTTTACTTGCGAGCAAAAATAGTTCAGTTCTAGTTCTTATATTTTCTTCACTTTGTCTCTTAATATGCTAAATTTAAAGATTTCCCATATATCTGGCAGCCTTAACATTCTGAATACAATTGCAACTACAACCACACTTACTACAAATAAAATAATATTATTAATATTCATTTATTTACATAACTTTTAAGTCATTTTTTTAGTTCAAACCAAACAAAAAAAAACTCTATTTTGTCGTCTTTCGCTTGTCGTCTGCGGTGGCAATTCTGCAAACTGTTATATGCAGATTTCTATCAAATTATCTCACACTCTTACACATACACACACTATTATCCTGTACTGTTTTTCAATCATTTATTTGCCTGTTCTTTAAAACTCCTGCTCATTTTTTTTTTTTTTTTTTGCTTTCTCATGTACAAAAACAAAAGCCATTAACCCCGGATATATGAATATACACATGCATGTTTGTATAAGCATGTATATGTGTTTATGCTTCAACTAGCAATATTTTCCCTCTGCCCTTCTCTACTTTCCCCAGCCCTTTTTGACTCTCTGAAGTAGTGAAACAAAATGTTTGGGTAATTGCATGTGTGCAAAAAAAAAGACACCGTTGGTTTGTTGTCTTTTCATTTTGTTGTGTTGAAAGAAAAATGAACGGAAATGTAACCTACTAATAGGGGGAGAGAGAAAAGGGGGAAATTATATTTGAATAAAGATAAATTAGTTTGATTTTTTTCTGTAGTTTAATAAGGGAAACATAAAAGGATTATTATTAGGGTTTTTTGACAAGTAAATACGGTCATTACTAGTACATAAACTAGTCTATGAACTAGCCTATGGACTAGTTTATTGAATAGTCTAGGAACTAGACTATTCACTAGTCTTTGGACTAGTCTATTGACTAGTCTATTGACTAGTGTATGTACTAGTCTATTGACTAGTCTATGGACTAGTCTATTGACTAGTGTATGTACTAGTCTATTGACTAGTGTATGAACTAGTATATTGACTAGTCTATGTACTAGTATATTGACTAGTCTATGGGCGGATCTTTAGACAAGTCTATGGACTAGTCTATCGACTAGTCTTCAGACTACTTTATAAACTAGACTATTGAATAGTATGAGGACTAGGCTTTTGACTAGTCTATTGATTATTATATTGACTAGTTAATGGACTATTGACTAGTCTGAGGACTAGACTATTGACTAGTCTGAGGACTAGACTATTGACTAGTCTGTGGACTAGACTATTGACTAGTCTATGAACTTGTATGTTGTCTAGTTTATGAAGTAGTCTATTGACTAATGTATGGACTATACTGTTGACTCTTCTATGGACTAGACTAATGTCTAGTCCATGGACTAGACTATTAAATTGTTTTCGGACTATTGAATAGTATATGAACTGTACTATTTACTATTCTGTTGACTATTATATGAACTAGTCTATTGGCTAGTCTATATACTAGACTATTGGCTAGTCTATATACTAGTCTATTGGTTAATCTATATACAAGTCTATTGACTAGTATACATATACTAGTATAAGGACTAGTATATGGTCTAGACTATTGACTAGTCTATGGACTAGTATATGGGCTAATTTATTGTTTATTCTAGGGACTAGAATATGGACTAGTTTCTGTACTAGTCTACAAACTAGAATATTATCTCGTCTATGAACTAACCCATTTTCTGACAAAAGGACTTAAATGAAAAAGATTATAATTTTTATAAATTTGATCTTAATACTCATACGTAATGGTTGACCAAACTTCTTTCTCTGCTCTCATACACATACACTTCTAGTTTGATTATTATTATTACTCATACGTAGTGCTACCTGTGTGTTTGTATATTCATTATTTGTTTTGTTTTGCATATAGTTGATTGTTTTTCTTTTTTTTTTTGCTTTCAAGCAATAGTTTTTTGTTATTGTTTTCTTACTTCTAGCTACTGTACTCTCGCTCTCTTTTTTTTTCTAAATACAAAGTAAACAACTTAAACAAAAACAAATACCAGCAGGTAAAATAAAATAATAACAACAAGTAGAAATCTTTATTTTAATGGACACGTTTTTTTTTGTAGTGCTGCCATATTTTGAAGGACTCTTAAGCAATTGTTAAAGTTTTTTTAACGTGGGTTTTCTTTAAAAACTACAATGTCTGTACAAAAACAATGTTAAATAGAATGCGGATAAATGTAAATTATGTATAGAAGTGAACGCTGCGTTTGGTTTTAAGGTCGTTTAGTGGGTGGCTTTATCAAAACGTATTTGTATATAGTATTTTAATTGTTGCTTTTTATATTTTTGGGGGGTTCTTCTTCGTTATTTAGTTATCAACAACAGCAGGTAGAATACAATAAAGTTAGAAATAATACAACAAATAAACACAAAAACAAATTAATTAAGTATGAACTTGAAAATGGAAAACAAAAACTTGGGAATAAACTTTATCATTTAAGCGACCAACTGAAGCATTAAAGCAGACAACCTAACACAACTGGCTTTTAATTAACCCATATAATGTTAATTTTTGTTTTGTGTGGAACTTGAACGGGTTAATTAGCTCAAAACAAAGTTGAGGGTTATATATATAAGCAAAATTAAATATATGAAAAATATATTATTAAAAATAACCAAATTTTTAAATCTCTAAAGATACGAAAATTGCAACCAAATTTCGGACTTAACTTCGAAAAACTTTGTTTTTTCTTAAGATCTAAAATAAATAAAAATACCTGTTCCTATAAAATTTTCCAAAATTCCTTTTCTTTCAGATTAAGAACCGGTTGGAATAGCTCCCAGGTACATGAACCTTTACGACCCGATGAACAGGCTGCCATTATATCCGTTATTAAACGCAATGAAGAGCTGGAAATTGCGGAACGCCAGCGTGTGGGTCGACTGGTGGAAAGAGTAGAAAAAATTAAATCTCGAGCTGTGGAGAGAGGACCAAATTGCTGTCGTTTATGTGGCGATACTTTTGGTATTCTACGAGCACAACGTATCATCTGTGAGGATTGTCGCAAATCGGTTTGCCCCAAATGTAGTTTGGACATTAGCATACGTTATCATACCACCGAAAAGACCAGGGAAATTTGGTTATGCCGCATTTGCTCAGAGACCCGTGAAATGTGGAAGAAAACTGGGGCTTGGTTTTTCAAAGGTCTTCCCAATTATGAAGTGCCAAGTTCAGCCACCTCAACGCCGACACGGAATACACCCGTAGTAGCGGAAGCCAATGAAATGTTAATGACCCAACGTAAAGTGCAAAGTTGCCAAAGTACACCCACGCGCAGTGTGCGCGTTAAAAAGTTGACTATACGAGTTTGTGACTCCAGCAGTGAGGAAGAGTTAGAGGCGAGAGGTAAAGCTGAAGATGTGGTGGATAATGCTTGCAGCAATATGAATCAAGTGTGTTTAAAAGAAGGCGATAAAAGGGAGACTAAAAATGGCACCAAAACCAGTCCCACTATAAGTGAGGGTAAGCTGCAAAGAGAAGATAGTTTTCGCATGCGCACCTTTGGTTCCATACGCAGTTTTATTGACGGCTCGACGGGCGAACGTAAACTTTCGAATGCTTTCTTTTTCAACAATCGTTCGAATTCACGTTCAGAGGCTGGTAGTGCCCAACCGGAATTTGATACCATATCGACTGCTTCCACTGTTTACACTACAGCTTCCAACCCCAACAATCGTCGAGAAAGCTCAAATTATTGCTCAAGTCAAAGACGCAGTTCGGTTTCCTCCTCCTGGTCGATTAGTGATAGTTCTTCGGGCAATTCGGCGACCACCGCTTCCATGTCTGCGGCCAATCAAGCAAATGCACATTGTCGTGACCCCTTACTGGGTTGGCTGGAAGTGGCCATAACTTATAGGGAAAATTTTCATACTTTAGATGCCACCGTGGTTAGAGCTCGCGATTTGCCTCCTATGGACTCTTTAGGTTTGACCGATCCTTATTGTAAGTTGAATATTATAACCGCTGAAGGGACGGCTAAATATACCCGCTGGCAAAAGACAAGGTGTGTGCACAAAACTCGCAATCCGGAATTTAATGAAACACTACAGTTTGTGGGTGTTGAACCGGAGGAGTTGGGCAATGCTTTGCTTTATGTAGCCATTTTCGATGAGGACAAGTATGGTCATGACTTTTTGGGTGCAGCAAAGATTGGCTTATCGACGGTGAGTGAGAATCAGGAAAGTTGAAAGTTTTGTTTTGAATAATTGTTTTTCTCTTTTTTAGGTGCACAATACCAATCAATATAGAATTTCGGTGCCCTTGGGACCCGAAGACCAATACAGCAATGCCGCTGAAATGTCTCAAGAATGGCCTCACGGCAAAGTTTTGGTCTCCTTGTGTTATAACACCAAGAGAAGAGCTTTAACGGTTAATATCAAGCAATGTGTAAACTTAATACCCATGGACAATAATGGCAGTTCAGATCCATTTGTTAAATTGTAAGTTTTTTGGGTTTTCCATCTCTTTTGAATATAAATTTAATAATATTACTTTCCATTTAGGCAAATGAAACCCGATTCTCATCGCAACAAAAAATACAAAACCAGTGTCAAGTGGCGAACTTTGAATCCCATCTACAATGAAGAATTCCATTTCGAGGCCAGTCCTCATGACCTAAATAAACAATCAATTATTATTACCGTATGGGATAAGGATTTGGGTAAAAGTAATGATTTCTTGGGCAGTTTGATTATTGGATTTAATAGTAAAGGTGAACGTTTGCAGCAGTGGCTGGATTGCATACGTTTGCCAGATCATTTTCATGAGAAATGGCATTGTTTGGCGGGCGAAAATCCTTTGCATTAAAGATTGGATTATGAAACAGCAACCATTTCAAGCCAAATTTTTTTTCGGCAACAGCATTTAGCAATCTTTAAAGAAATAAAAAAATTGATGTAAAAGTATTCTTTTTCTCCTTTTATCTATAAAGTATATTAATTTTGATAGTATATGTATTAATTAATAATATTTATATATATATAAATATATATTTTTCTTAATAAATTTTTTTAAGTGTCCTTAAAAGGCTTTAGTTTATTTTAAACAAAAAAATCCATAAAAACTAAAAATTACTGGTTTAAAAAGAAATCTTTAAAAAGAAAATCTTAAAATAAATATTTACAAAATAAACTGCTAAAATAAAAAAGAAAACTATTTATTGTTTTAATTTAAAATTAAAGAAATAATTTTAGATTCAAAGTCTTGGAATTTTTAAACTTGAACTAGAACAGAAACAGAACTGAACTAGAATTGAACTAAAACTGGAATAGAACTGAAATAGAACTGAACTAGAACTGAACTAGAACTGAACTAAAACTAAACTAGAACTGAACTAGAACTAAACTAGAACTGAACTAGAACTGAACTAGAACAGAACTAGAACAGAACTAGAACAGGACTAGAACAGAACTAGAACAGAACTAGAACAGAACTAGAACAGAACTAGAACAGAACTAGAACAGAACTAGAACAGAACTAGAACAGAACTAGAACAGAACTAGAACAGAACTAGAACAGAACTAGAACAGAACTAGAACAGAACTAGAACAGAACTAGAACAGAACTAGAACAAAAGTAGAACAGAACTAGAACAGAACTAGAACAGAACTAGAACAGAACTAAAAACGAAACTTGAACTGAACTAGAAGAACGGAACTAGAACTGAACTAGAACTGAACTAGAACTGAACTAGAACTGAACTAGAACTGAACTAGAACTGAACTAGAACTGAACTAGAACTGAACTAGAACTGAACTAGAACTGAACTAGAACTGAACTAGAACTGAACTAGAACTGTACTAGGACTGAACTAGAACTGAACTAGAACTGAACTAGAACTGAACTAGAACTGAACTAGAACTGAACTAGAACTGAACTAGAACTGAACTAGAACTGAACTAGAACTGAACTAGAACTAAACTGGAACTGAACTAGAACTGAACTAGAACTGAACTAGAACTGAACTAGAACTGAACTAGAACTGAACTAGAACTGAACTAGAACTGAACTAGAACTGAACTAGAACTGAACTAGAACTGAACTAGAACTGAAATAAAACTGGACTAGAACTGGACAAGAACTGAACTAGAACTGAACTAGAACAGATCTAGAACAGAACTAGAACAGAACTAGAACAGACCTAGAACAGAACTAGAACAGAACTAGAACAGAACTAGAACAGAACTAGAACAGAACTAGAACAGAACTAGAACAGAACTAGAACAGAACTAGAACTGAACTAGAACTGAACTAGAACTGAACTAGAACTGAACTAGAACTGTACTAGGACTGAACTAGAACTGAACTAGAACTGAACTAGAACTGAACTAGAACTGAACTAGAACTGAACTAGAACTAAACTGGAACTGAACTAGAACTGAACTAGAACTGAACTAGAACTGAACTAGAACTGAACTAGAACTGAACTAGAACTGAACTAGAACTGAACTAGAACTGAACTAGAACTGAACTAGAACTGAACTAGAACTGAACTAGAACTGAACTAGAACTGAACTAGAACTGAACTAGAACTGAAATAAAACTGGACTAGAACTGAACTAGAACTGAACTAGAACAGATCTAGAACAGAACTAGAAGAACTAGAACAGACCTAGAACAGAACTAGAACAGAACTAGAACAGAACTAGAACAGAACTAGAACAGAACTAGAACAGAACTAGAACAGAACTAGAACAGAACTAGAACAGAACTAGAACAGAACTAGAACAGAACTAGAACAGAACTAGAACAGAACTAGAACAGAACTAGAACAGAACTAGAACAGAACTAAAACAGGATTAGAACAGAACTAGAACAGAACTAGAACAGAACTAGAACAGACCTAGAACTAGAACAGAACTAGAACTGAAAACGAACTAGAACTGAACTAGAACTGAACTAGAACTGAACTACAACTGAACTAGAACTGAACTAGAACTGAACTAGAACTGAACTAGAACTGAACTAGAACTGAACTAGAACTGAACTAGAACTGAACTAGAACTGAACTAGAACTGAACTAGAACTGAACTAGAACTGAACTAGAACTGAACTAGAACTGAACTGAACTAGAACTGAACTAGAACTGAACTTGAACTGAACTAGAACTGAACTAGAACTGAACTAGAACTGAACTAGAACTGAACTAGAACTGAACTAGAACTGAACTAGAACTGAACTAGAACTGAACTAGAACTGAACTTGAACTGAACTAGAACTGAACTAGAACTGAACTAGAACTGAACTAGAACTGAACTAGAACTGAACTAGAACTGAACTAGAACAGAACTAGAACTGAAAACGAACTAGAACTGAACTGAACTGAACTAGAACTGAACTGAACTAGAACTGAACTAGAACTGAACTGAACTAGAACTGAACTACAACTGAACTACAACTGAACTAGAACTGAACTAGAGCTGAACTAGAACTTAACTAGAACGGAACTAGAACTGAACTAGAACTGAACTAGAACTGAACTAGAACTGAACTAGAACTGAACTAGAACTGAACTAGAACTGAACTAGAACTGAACTAGAACTGAACTAAAACTGAACTAGGACTGAACTAGTACTGAACTAGAACTGAACTAGAACTAGAACTGAACTTAAAAAAAGGATTTAAAGAAAATTTCCTTTCAAAAACTTTAATTCATCGAATAAAATTTGTTTTACATTTTGTGTTTTTGCTTTTTCATACGTTTAAATTTTATTTATTATTATTTAAATAAATTTATATTTAGACCTCGTTTTTTATTGGTTTTGTTATTAACTAGGATTTATTATTATACTTCATTATCATTGCGTTTTTCAGTTTTATTTTGTTTGTTGTTTTAATTAATTTAAATTAAATTTTATTATATACTTGCTTTATTATAAGACTAGTCTTTTAAATAAATTATTATTTAAAGAAATCAACTACTTAAAACTGTTTTCCTCTCACTCTCTCTCTCTCTCTTTCAGTTTCTTACACTTCATTTCACTTTATCTAGTCACAAATTATTTGGCTAAAAGTAACAAATAATGTTTGTTGGTTTACTCGCTGGTGTTTAAATTAAAAAACTAATAGGAAATTTAAAAAAAAGTGAAACATATTTAAAAGTAATAAAAACCTTTTAAATATTTGAAAGAAATTAATGTACAAAAAAGGCAGAAGACCACAAAAAAAACAAAATTATTCTCTAGCCGCCTTTTTAGTTCTCTTATTAGTAGTTGTGGCTGTCGGCTGTACAGGACTTGTGAACATTGTAGAGGAGGCGACGGAGGCATTGGGTGTATTGGGCGTACTATGCTTGTGTTTGTGTAAACGTTTGTGATAACTTTGAGCCAAAGAATTTACTATGGACACTACAAAATAGCAGACCATACAAATTACAAAGGTTTCAAAGATTTTCGACAGCATATTGCCCGATTCTGCCGGAGTGGCATTACGTTGACGATGTAAACGTTGCTTTTGATTGTTGAGAAAACCCTTAAAGGGTTCTTGTAGTTTTTTACCGATTACGGGAATGGCAGCCAAGGTATCTACGGCCTTTTCAATGAGCGATTCATTAAAGGCTATAATCACAAAGACTTTTTGTATGTGCATTTTAATAACGGCCTTGCCGATCAATGTGGCCCCAAAGAAAGTCCAGAATGGCACCAAGAAATGGCCACAGGTAATGCCGGCTAAATCGAATAAAGGATTGGGAATCTGTAGACAAAAAAAGACAGAAAGAAAAATTTTAATTTTAGAAGAAAATTTTACAAATTTTGTTTTTGAAAATTAAATTTTTCAATAAAAAATCCTCACAAATTTGAAAGTTTAGTAGAATTTATGTTCGAAAAATTCGAAGTTTCAAAAATTAAAATTTTCTTTCATAATTTTAATATTTTCTTGGCTATAACTTATTATTAATGAAATTTTGTTAAATTTGAAAATGTTTGCACAATTTTCAAAAATTCGAACTAATGTTCGAAAAATTCGAAGATTCAAATATTATAATTTTTGATAAAAATTTAAATATTTTCTTTACATTTTGTAAAATTTTTATGTTTTAGTGCAATTTCGAAAATTCGAACTTAAGTTTGAAAACTTCGAAAATTGCAAAATAAATATTTCTGATCAAAATTTCTATTTTCTGTTAGTAATATTCAAATTTTGCAAAATATTAAAGTTTTTTGCAATTATCGAAAATTCGAAGTTAAGTTCGAAAAATTCGAAAATGCAAAAATTATGAGTTTTGATTGAAATTTCCTATTTTCTTGATAAAATATTGCTAAAACTTTTATCACAAATGAATATTTTCACAAATTTGAAAGTTTAGTAGAATTTATATTCGAAAAATTCGAAGTTTCAAAAATTACAATTTTCTTTCATAATTTTAATATTTTCTTGGCTATAACTTATTATTAATGAAATTTTGTTAAATTTGAAAGTTTTTGCACAATTTTCAAAAATTCTGACTAATGTTCGAAAAATTCGAAGATTCAAAAATTATAATTTTTGATAAAAATTTCAATATTTTCTTTGTTATAGGTTGTTAAAATTACATTTTGTAAAATTTTTATGTTTTAGTGCAATTTCGAAAATTCGAACTTAAGTTTGAAAACTTCGAACATTGCAAAATAAATATTTCTGATCAAAATTAAAATTTTCTTTTAGTAAAATGTTGCTAATATTCAAATTTTGTAAAATATTTAAGTTTTTCGCAATAATCGAAAATTCGAAGTTAAGTTTGAAAAATTCGAAAATGCAAAAATTATGAGTTTTGATTGAAATTTCCTATTTTCCTGATAAAATATTGCTAAAACTTTTATCACAAATTAATATTTTCACAAATTTAAAAGTTTAGTAGATTTTATGTTCGAAAAATTCGAAGTTTCAAAAATTACAATTTTCTTTCATAATTTTAATATTTTCTTGGCTA